CATAAATAATAATTATTCCAGCAGTAGCCCCATGGATGGCACTACTTACAGTGCATAAAGTTAAGCAGGTACATAAAAGCCTTAGCAGGATTGGGGTCTAAATGAGTTCTTCTTTCAGCTTCCACCTGATGCTTATGTTTAAAATATAAGTAAGACTTTGCAGAACAAGGGCCATAGTGTGTCTCCATTGGGAATGCTGGCTTTCTAGTGCTGTTTGTCACTGCTGTGTGTCTCTGGCAAACGATGACAAGCTGTTGTGTTCTATAATTTTTCAAACCCATTTCTATTCCCCCTCAAAAACATTGTGTTCACCTCGCACTGATGGCTGCTTTGTAACACTCATCCCAGCTTCCAGGCACTTGCAGGTTTAAACTGGTGAAAATGGTGGGTTCTCTGTCACTTGAAATCATGATCTGAGGCTGTCAGTAACTCAGGCAGGGGTTAGGGGTCTTTGACAGGAGAGGGTGGATGAGATTCTGTGGCCTGTGATGTGCAGGAGGTCAGACTGGATGATCATGATGGACCCTTCTGGCCTTAAAGATGATTCAGGCAGGGGCTTGGCAGACTTCCTGTTTGTGGTTGAAGGCATTTGGCTCATTTAAGACCATAGCCTGGCCAAGTCAGAGTCAACTGTGGCAGTTTTGCCCCTTTCTTTTTTCACCCTCTCAGGTCCTTTTTCATGTGCACAACAGCTGACGCAGTCTGAGTGTGCCGCTTCACTGAACTGAAAGCACAAAAGCTTACGTTAGTGACGAAACGTGTACAACTAGCCCAAACGAAACTCACTGTGGGCATGTCTACACAGCAGCTGGGAGGTGTAGTTCCCAATAAAGGTATTCAGACATGCACTAGCTCTGCTTGAGCTAGTACCCCAGTACAATCCTGCCCAACACCCTGGGTGCATATTCAGGTGGCTAGGCCAAGCTACTGTCCAGGGTCATCATGGCCACGCTACTATTTTTAGCACACTAGCATGAGCAGAGCTTGTACATGTCTGTCTACCTGCACTGGAAATCATGTTCCTAGCTGCAGTGTAGACATGCCTTTGTCATAAATATAAAGGGAAGGGTAAACACCTTTAAAATCCCTCCTGGTCAGAGGAAAAACCCTTTCACCTGTAAAGGGTTAAGAAGCTAAGGTAACCTCGCTGGCACCTGACCACAATGACCAATGAGGAGACAAGATACTTTCAAAAGCTGGAGGGAGGGAGAAACAAAGTCTCTCTCTGTCTGTGTGTGTGATGCATTTGCCGGGAACAGAAAGGAATGGAGTCTTAGAACTTGGTAAGTAATCTAGCTAGGTATGCATTAAATTCTGTTTGTTTAAATGGCTGAGAAAATAATCTGTGCTGAATGGAAGGGATATTCCTGTTTTTGTGTCTTTTTGTACCTTAAGGTTTTGCCTAGAGGGATTCTCTATGTTTTGAATCTAATTACCCTGTAAGGTATTTACCATCTTGATTTGACAGAGGTGATTCTTTTTCTTCTATTGAAATTCTTCTTTTAAGAAAGTGAATGCTTTTTCATTGCTCTTAAGATCCAAGGGTTTGGGTCTGTGCTCACCTATGTAAATTGGTGAGGATTTTTATCAAACCTTCCCCAGGAAAGGGGGTGTAGGGTTTGGGGAGGATTTTGGAGGGAAAGACGTTTCCAAGCAGGCTCTTTCCCGGTTATATATCTGTTAGACGCTTGGTGGTAGGCAATAAAGTCCAAGGGAAAAAGGAAAATAGTTTTTACCTTGGGGAAGTTTTAACCTAAGCTGGTAAAAATAAGCTTAGGGGGTTTTCATGCAGGTCCCCACATCTGTACCCTAGAGTTCAGAGTGGGGAAGGAATCTTGACAGTCCTGTATCACAAACTACTTACTCCCGTCCTCCCTTATGTTCCCTCCATGTGCAGAGAAGAAGAACAGGACACTGTAAGATAGTTTTTTCTTTCACATCTTATCAATAAAAATGAGGAGAGTTTATTTCAAGCTGAGTGAGCAGACAGAAAATAGGGGCTGCTTGTAAATGTGAACATGTTTTCTGTTGCAACAATTGTGAGCTTCCTTTTGGGGGTGAATTTTAAAAGCCTAATTCACCCCAAACCAGCTTTCTTCAGTGATGCAGGTTAAGTACAGACTGCATTATGTTGCAGTTGAACTAAATCATACTAGATACAGCTTTATGAAGAGATTCTAAATCTCTTATTAGGAGAGAAGTGAAAGTCTGAATTATTTGTTTCCTTCTAGAAAATACAGTGGCTGTAATCTCATAATTGTATCTTTATTCAATCTCCAGGTACATGTCTTGTAGTTAAACCTTAAGGAAGAAAAGTGTTCTAAATTTTGTTCTATTTTGCAAACATATTTGCAGATCTACGCATGGGAAAGAGAATATTGTAGTTCTAACTGAAACATATGGAGGAAGTTGGCATTGAGAAAATCACTTAAAGGAGGACTTCAGTCCCTCTGCTGTGCACTTTATTGTTTGAATTCCCTCTCCAAACAAAACTCAGTGGCTTTTCCCTAAGTAATTGGAATGTTCTATAATTCACCCTCCCCCACACACAAAAAAAACACCACAACCCCTAACTCTTTACTAAAGTGTTTAGGGGAAACCTTTTTAACAACTCCTTTTGGAAGTTTTGACCCAACTTTTGTTTTACCTCTCTGGCTAATGAATAGCAGATGCCACAAACGCCCAACTCTCAGACACAGTTACAGGAATCTGTCAGTCATGGGCCAATTTCAAATACAAAAAAAAAAAAAAGAAAAGGAATTTTAAAGTGATTTCCCATTGTTGATTATAATTGAAAATTTATGTTCCAGCAAAGAGTTTTGAATAAACTCTGAGCAGTAGCAACCCTCTGGGATACAGGGGTTTGTTCCAACTCAACCGAGGAACTCCGCTGCACCAGTGCTCATAACGGTGACTATGAGCTGCACATTCCCTGGGTGCCCCTGGCCGGGGCTTACCTGATTTTTGACAGGGCTACCTGCCAGTGACCAAAATACTCTCAGTCACGCACCCCTCCAAGGGTTACATTTTGCTGTTCTGTTTCAAGTTAGCCCCTGTTATTTGGAACCGGACGATGCCCATGTGACTGCTTTGTATTTTCACTGCTGGGTTAAGTGCAAAGGACACCTGCCTCTAAAAGCTTTGAGTGTCTGCCCAGAAAGTCGGGGTATCAGTTAATGCTTTCTCCACCAGGAATGTAAAGATTTATACAGAGCTGAGATGATTTTCACCAGCCCCGGGGTTTCCTTAGCTCTGCTGTCTGCCAGTTCAGCTCTCAGGACACTCAGCCAGTCCCTTCCCCTGTTTTAAGCCTTACACAGGCATCGTCCCCTCCCCGTTCCCCCCCCCCCCCCGTGACCCCATCCTTTGTCTATTGCTCCACCTCCACTGACTAGGCCAGTTTCCTTGTAAGCTATAAGCACTCCATTTGTTTTCTCTCCTTTTTTGTGGGGGTGAGAGTCTGAGCAGCATGTCAGGGTTGCAAGAGGGGACGGAATCTCTCCACAATGCACCTGAGATCAATGTAGTGATCAATGGCTCCATGTCTAGTTGGCAGCCGGTATCAAGTGGAGTGCCCCAAGGGTCGGTCCTGGGGCCGGTTTTGTTCAATATCTTCATAAATGATCTGGAGGATGGTGTGGATTGCACTCTCAGCAAATTTGCGGATGATACTAAACTGGGAGGAGTGGTAGATACGCTGGAGGGGAGGGATAGGATACAGAAGGACCTAGACAAATTGGAGGATTGGGCCAAAAGAAATCTGATGAGGTTCAATAAGGATATGTGCAGGGTCCTGCACTTAGGATGGAAGAATCCAATGCACCGCTACAGACTAGGGACCGAATGGCTAGGCAGCAGTTCTGCGGAAAAGGACCTAGGGGTGACAGTGGACAAGAAGCTGGATATGAGTCAGCAGTGTGCCCTTGTTGCCAAGAAGGCCAATGGCATTTTGGGATGTATAAGTAGGGGCATAGCGAGCAGATCGAGGGACGTGATCGTTCCCCTCTATTCGACATTGGTGAGGCCTCATCTGGAGTACTGTGTCCAGTTTTGGGCCCCACACTACAAGAAGGATGTGGATAAATTGGAGAGAGTCCAGCGAAGGGCAACAAAAATGATTAGGGGTCTAGAACACATGACTTATGAGGAGAGGCTGAGGGAGCTGGGATTGTTTAGCCTGCACAAGAGAAGAATGAGGGGGGATTTGATAGCTGCTTTCAACTACCTGAAAGGGGGTTCCAAAGAGGATGGCTCTAGACTGTTCTCAATTGTAGCAGATGACAGACCGAGGAGTAATGGTCTCAAGTTGCAGTGGGGGAGGTTTAGATTGGATATTAGGAAAAACTTTTTCACTAAGAGGGTGGTGAAACACTGGAATGCGTTACCTAGGGAGGTGGTAGAATCTCCTTCCTTAGAGGTTTTCAAGGTCAGGCTTGACAAAGCCCTGGCTGGGATGATTTAACTGGGAATTGGTCCTGCTTCGAGCAGGGGGTTGGACTAGATGACCTTCTGGGGTCCCTTCCAACCCTTATATTCTATGATTCTATGAGAGATGGAGAGAGAGAGAGTGGGGCAGACATGTCCAGAGGTGAAGTGAGAATCGGCATTGCCTTTAAATCACCTAAAATGTAGGCTCTTGCACATGGTATTTCAAACTTTTATGGGAGAGGACTCCTGAAAACCTCACCTCCAGTTGCATATTTGTAGAGTTCCCACAGCTCCTTCCTCTTTGTGGCTACAGTCCTGAGATTGTGAAATCTTCTGAACAGAACCCATTTAACTGGTTACATGAGAATATTATTTGTTTGTGTAATTGCTGGATGTTTCCTTATAGCTGTTCCCGCAACTTTATGATACCAGTAGGTGCATGGGGCTGTGGCAGTGTATTGCTCTCTGTGCTCTACAGGACTACGCATGCCATTAATTTTTCAACAAAGAATAAATAAAATAAATGATGCACATCTTAGCTTAAATCCTCTAATTTGCCATTTCAGATTTTCCCATGATGAGCAGAGGGAAATCGCTGACTGACGTCCTTGTGCAGAGATTGGGCAATATTCTGTCGTATGAAGGCTGTTATAAAAATCAAGGAAGCATTGAAGATCAGTTTCAATTGGAGATGATTCCGTTTCTTTGTTAAGGAAATAGCCATTTGCTCAAAGCTTTTCTGTTCTTCCTCTTAGATTTTTGTTTTGTGCATCTGTGTTTGAGCACCAAAAAAACCGAGAGAAATAAATCAAACAAGGGCCTCCAGATCTACTTTGTAGCTTTCTGGCTAATGGTAAGTTCATCACTCTCTGCATTTTGTGCATTTGGCTTTAAAATGGGCTAATTTCAATCTGATGTCATTTATAGTTAATCCATTCGATTTATGGGGGCTGATCACTATGTCACAAACGTTCAAAATGACTCTGAGGCTTTCCAAGCTAGCACTGGTTCTCAGGATACATTTACTCCAGGACTCTGATGCACAGATTCCAGATTGTGCTAGGATATTTTCTGAATTAGGTATCCCCACCCCAGGGTTTGGAAATCCATTCAGATGATAAATAATATTCTAGCACCTTTCATCCTAAAACTTCAGCTGGCTTTACAAACAGTAACTAAGCTGCATGACACCTCTGTGAGTTAGAGGAACACAATTGTCCCCATTTTACAGATAGGGAAACTGAGGAACAGGAAGACAAAATGAGCTATCCAGTGAGTCACTTGTGAGGAAAAGAACTGAGGAGTTATAAGCTTCAGTGCCCTGCTCTCACCACTAGGCTACTGTCAGGGTTCCCTCCCCACTCTGAACTCTAGGGTACAGATGTGGGGACCCGCATGAAAGACCCCCTAAGCTTATTTTTACCAGCTTAGGTTAAAAACTTTCCCAAGGCACAAATTTCACCTTGTCCTTGAACAGTATGCTGCTACCACAAGTGATTTAGAGAAAGAACAGGGAAAAGATCACTTGGAGTTCCTATTTCTCCAAAATATCCCCCCAAGCCCTTACACCTCTTTCCTGGGAGGCTTGAGAATAAACAAGATGAGCACAAACCAGCCTTGGATTTTTAAGACCCATAAAACGCAATAAGATTCTAACAAAACAAAACTTTATTAGAAGAACAAAAAAGGATAAGAGAACAACTCTGTAAAATCAGAATGGAAGATAATCTTACAGGCAGTCAGATTTAAAACATAGAGAATCCCTCTAGGCAAAACCTTAAGTTACAAAAAGACACACAAACAGGAATACACATTTCCTCCAGCACAGCAAATTTCACAAGCCAAAACAAAGAAAACCTAATGCATTTTCTAGCTAGATAACTTACGAACTTTACAGGAGTTGGGGGGCTAAGAGGGATAAATACCGGAGAGGGAGAGGAATTATTTAAGCTCAGTACCAATGTGGACACAAGAACAAATGGATATAAATTGGCCACGAGGAAATTTAGACTAGAAATTAGACGAAGGTTTCTAACCATCAGAGGAGTGAAGTTTTGGAATAGCCTTCCAAGGGAAGCAGTGGGGGCAAAAGATCTATCTGGCTTTAAGATTAAACTTGATAAATTTATGGAGGAGATGGTTTGATGGGATAACATGGTTTTGGTAATTAAATATTCATGGTAAATAGGCCCAATGGGCTGTGATGGGATATTAGATGGGGTGGGATCTGAGTTACTGCAGAAAATTCTTTCCTGGGTATCTGGCTGATGAATCTTGGCCATATGCTCAAGGTTTAGCTGATCGCCATATTTGGGATTGGGAAGGAATTTTCCTCCAGGGCAGATTGGAAGAGGCCCTGGAGGTTTTTTGCCTTCCTCTGTAGCATGGGGCACGGGTCACTTGCTGGAGGATTCTCTGCTCCTTGAAGTCTTTAAACTACGATTTGAAGACTTCAATAGCACAGATATAGGTGTGAGGTTTTTTGCAGGAGTGGGTGGGTGAAATTCTGTGGCCTGCGTTATGCAGGAGGTCAGACTAGATGATCGTAATGGTCCCTTCTGACCTAAATAACTATGAATCCTTGATCTGTTCCCGGCAAAGGTATCACACAGACAGACAAAAGCCTTTCCCCCCGCTCCAGATTTGAAAGTATCTTGTCCCCTCATTGGTCATTTTGGGTCAGGTGCCAGCCAGGTTACCGGAGCTTCTTAACCCTTTACAGGTGAAAGGGTTTTGCCTCTGGCCAGGACGGATTTTATAGCACTGTATACAGAAAAGTGGTTACTCTGCCCTTTATATTTATGACAGCTGCCCTTCTTCCCTCTAGATAGGAATAAGAGTTGTTATTCCATATTAACTATTAATAATGAGACTTTACACAGTATTTTAGTTTTTCCCCTGATACTGGTGATGGAAAACCAAAGCAGTGACCTGCTTCAAAGTGCTCTTGACGACCTTCTTCAGGAAGACTTCAAACGATTTAAAGACAAACTATCACACTCTGACTTTGAGGGGAAAGGTACCATCCCCCGAGGTCGGCTGGAGAATGCCGACAGGACCGATATGAAGAACCTCCTGATGGCATTCTATGGTGCAGCGGCTGCAGTGGATGTAACTATAGACGTTTTCACTCAGATCAGCTTCAGAGAGGCTGCTGCAAAACTCAGAGAAGAAAGAGAGAAAGGTAAGAAACCTAAAGTTACTCAAAAACCTGGGAGTCTCCCCCAGGGCAGTAGCAGAAGGAGAAACAGGCTGATGGCAGGAATGACAAATTCTGAACCCCAGCTGGAAATGCGGGGGACTCAGAGCAGAGATGCCTAGAGCAGATTCTCTGACCTGCTCCACTTCCTTTTTACCAGTCAGCCGGCACAAGGGGAGCAGAGACAGCTTGTAACTCTCCATCTGAGGAAATCCCCTGGTGTGTGTGTGGGGAATCCCCAGTGGGTGTAGAGCCAACAAAGGGATGCAGAGAGAGTGCCACGGACAGAGAGGTGGGGAGGAGGAGTAACTAGAGTGCATCACCAGCTGGGGGACTGTTCTTTGTGGACCATTGGGAGCTGGCAAGTTAGAACAGCTCCCAGGCTGCTGTAATCTGTGCTGCACCTGGGACATAGAATCAAGGATGTGTAGTTGGAAACTGATCACAGCAGAGAGTCTGGCCCAATAGAGTCTCACCAAACAGCTGACTGGCCCCATGAGACCCTTCTGGAATTCCAAGCAGAAATTTTATATTGGAGGCTATTTTTCACTGAAAACAAACAAAACAAATCCGGTGCAATACAAACAGCCAAGGACCAGCAAATCTGGAGAGCTGCAGTTCCGAAGTCCCTCGGCTGCTTTTCAGTGTCCCACATGAGCGTAAGAGCCAGTGCCAATGGGGCTCCACTCTTTAGTTAGACTCCATGAGCTCTGTTATGAGTTAAACTCAATCCTGTTATAGTCATTCCTGTTCCTCTCACCCACAGTGACAGTGGAGCTCAGCTGGGTTGGTTCTGCCCGGGGTCCCTGGGATGGAGCGCTCCAGGGCTGGCAGCGGGGCTCTCCCTAGAGGCCTTTGGCATTCACTGCCCTGGACAGTCCCCCAGGGTATGAGTTTAATATCCCCCAGAGCACAATGCAGGAAGCATTTATTTATTGTTGACTGTGAGCTCTGTTAAGAAGGCACATCCTTGTGAAGTGACTGGGCAATCTCTCAGTTTGTATTTGTCTTTTAATCGCACAATCGGATGATGATGGAAAACATAACATCCCCCGTGGTGAGCTAGAGAAAGCCAATGTGTTAGATGTGCCTCAAGCCTGTTAGAATGCTGTGGGGAACATGGGATGGATGTAACCCCAGAAATCCTCAATCAGATCGACCTGAGACAGTCAGCTTCTAAGGTCATGGAGGAAACAAAGACGGGTAAAGAATCTAAAGTTGCCATGACTCCTGGGAAGCTCTTCTTCAATATTCCCCCTTCCACCAACCTCCCTACAAAGATATAGCAGAAGCAGGAACAGCTGCAGTTGGTTAATAATACTGAGTAGATTCCAAGGCCCAAGGGAAAGCCAGTGGGAGCTGGCGTGATTCAAAGCAGGGACGCAGGATTTTCCTAGTGCGCATGTGAAATTAGATGTTCTGGAAACACACAAGTTGCTATACGGATACTGTACAAGCAAGTGACATCAGAAGAAAGAGCTGTGATCAATGGCATGGTGTTCCTGGTCAGTTTTTAGACTGGATCTTAGTGGAGAAACTGAGAATGAGAAATGAGGGTGAGAGCAAGTGATTTGGGGGAACTGGCAGTACAGGACCAGAATCCCTTGAGTTCTACTCCTTTGCCTGGTGCGATGGCCCAAGAAGTGTAGCAGAAAGCGGAAGGGGAATCCCCAGCTAGCACAGAGGCTGCTCCTGTGCCACCATCTCGGGCAGTCCCTAGCACAGCAGGTGTGGAACGAGCAGTATGGCGCTCCAGCGATCCCTGCAGCTCTACTGGCCCCTCGGGATCACAGCCGGCTGGTGTAATTTAGAACAACCCTCAAGCTCAGACCATTTGAGAACTAGCCCCAGCCTCAGGATCAGGGAGGTGCAATCAGGGTGGAGGATGGGAGAACAACCGGACACTGCTGTGGCCGCACATATAGCGCACAGCAGAGCATCTGCCCCTAGAGGGAGATCTCATGTCTTTCTGTTCCTGTTAGTTGTAGTTTCTAAACCTTTTTCCTGTGAGGACAGCCTTTAAACCTCAAACCATCATGAGGGGTGAAAGGATGAAGCAGCTGTCCACATTTCTTTAGCAGGAGGCTGAAGGGACCTTAATACACCCAGTGCGCTTTAACAACAGAATTACTTGGATCTGTTTGAGATGTACCTACGGGCTTAACCCAGCCCAGAAGTCAGCTCCGTGACTGCTGCTGCAATTGTGGTGGGCATGGAATTCCTACAGAGGGGGAGATGAGAGAGGGAAGAAAGCTGAGGAGTAGGAGTAAGGCCAGAGTTGGAGGTGAAAGGGAATGTGTTCCCCCCACCTGGACACATCACTAAGTGGCCTGGGGCTGTATGGGCTGTTTATCAGAGCTTCGTCCATGTGGGAGGAACCCTGGGACACTGTGTCTCCATTGGAGCTGCGCTGCCAGGGAATGGGGGGAACAGGACAGGGTCGGAGGGCACAGGGCACGTCTGCACATCTGAGAGAGATTTTTGCTGCATCATCATCATTGAGCCTCCTTGGGAGAGCGTGACTCCTCTTGAATGGAGATACAGGAATTCCTTGTGGTGACAGCAGCAGAAGGGAACCCTGATTTTTCTGGAAGAGGGTAACGGCTAAGGGACAAATATTAACTATTGTTTACATTTGTGAAACTTTGACCTTTTACATCATTTTAACAAGAAAAATATTGAAAAAAACATAATAGATAAATTAGGTGACACCGGCATTTCACTATCCAATGTTTTGTGAATTCTTGGATCAAAGAAATGCTTTGGGAAGACTGGTGCAAATGCTTTTAGGCTCAGGAAATTTTTGTAAGCCTTGCTCCTGACCAGCAATGATCAGAGACATTCACTCCCTTATTCCCAGCAACCACAAACTTCTTGAGCTACCTGGCATGCATAGGAAGTGTGACTAACAGGGTGCAGCAAATTGCCAACAGAAAATTGTGTTTTTGTCCAAACAATTCTTTTGTGTGAAAATTGTCAGCTTTCCATGGGAAAAACAAACTTTTCTTATGAAAACAGAAAAAAATCTGATTCTGAAATGCTGCTGAAGTGCTGTATGGGAGTCATAGGTCAGGTGACTCATGACCCCTTTTTCCAGTGTGGGCCAGGCTCCCTCTCTGGACTACATCTCCCACAATGCTCCATGGTGACTCAGTAAGAGTGAAAACCGTGGTGCATCATGGAAGATGTAGTCAGGCTAGGGATCTTGGCCTCTAGAAGAGAATGGGCGCATGAGGCAAACAAACTACAATTCCCATAACACATTGCAGCAGCATTTTTTTAAATCAAAATTTTGGTTTTCAGCCAAAACTTTTTGTCTTTCAAGGTTTTTTGTTTGTTTTTTGTTTTCTATCAAAACCTCAAAATTTTCCACGCAGGAGGATGGGGAGAAATTCGAAGCAGCTCTAATATTCTCCCTTGTGTGCTGTTCCCGCTCAGCAGTCTGATGTGGAGGGGAACAGGATCAGGGCTCTACCTCCTCTCTGCTTCTCACTGCCCCTTTGGGGTGCAGGGTTTCTCCAAGGATCCAGTTCCCATGCTCCCTTGTTCTTGTGTGGGAATTACAAGGGTGTGCAATTAGGAGCCTGCCTTCTCTCTCCAGATCTGCATAAATGCCAGGTCCAATCTATACCTGTTCTAGAAATAGCATCAGTGACACTTTTCAGAGGAACAGCCGTGTTAGTCTGTATTCGCAAAAAGAAAAGGAGGACGTGTGGCACCTTAGAGACTAACCAATTTATTTGAGCATGAGCTTTCGTGAGCTACAGCTCACTTCATCGGATGCATACCGTGGAAACTGCAGCAGACTTTATATACACACAGAGAATATGAAACAATCAGTGACACTGTAGCTATAGGTGAGGTGGCAATGCCATGGTAAAACCCTGGACAGGATTTTCTAACTTGTGCATGTAAAACAACAGCTCAGATTGGCTGTGACTGTGGGGAGGGGTTTCCACCTCCCTGTGCAGTGTGTGGGTATGGGTTGCTTGCCAGGATTATCTGGGTGCATCTCACTTAATCAATTCGCTGCTGTTGCGGGGGCCTCAGACACTGGTGCACCTCGGGCCCTCCTATCCTCTGCCCGTGGCACATAATAGTCTAGTCTCCTGTGGGCTGTAATATTCTGTTCTCATTTTGGTTGTTGGGTTTAATATGCAGGTGCTGTGGGAGCTGCAAGTGGCCATACCTGCGGATGCTCAGGTAAACAAAGCGTCTTGTGGCCCGCCAGGGGCTAACCCTGAACAAGCCGCGGCCCAAGGTTCAGAACCCCTGTTTTAAAGGATGTTTTAACACTCTTAAAATAGCATTCTGAAATGCTGCTGGAGTGCTGTATGTGAGCCATAGTTCATGGGCCTCATGATCCCTTTCTTCTCTGTTGGACAGGTTCCCTTTCTGGAGTACATCTCCCACAATGCACCATGTAGCTCAGCAAGAGAGAAAACCATGGTGCATCATGGAAGATGAAGTCAAGCTAGGGGTCTTGGCCCATTGCAGAGACAGGGCCTTCATAAGCAAGTCATCTGTCCAATGAAACACTGGCACTCCACCTCCCGTACCGCACTACTCAGGATTAGCGATGGGTCCCATCTAAATACCGGTGTCCAATCCTATCCTCCAGTGTTTGGAGTCACAGTAGCGAGGAATGGGGGTGGAGAGTGAAGCAGAGAAGGGTATCTAGAAGTGAGAAAAACAGAAAGGGATTGAAAGAGCTAGCAACAGGAGAGGCGAGAAAACATAACCAGAGAGTAAGAAGAGAAGTAGTTAGAAATAACAAAAGAAGACAAAGGGTACTGGGGGGAAAGGGAGGAGAACAGAAAAAATAAGACGAAAACTAAAAGAAAAGATCAGAAGGAACCAAAAAAAAAAAAAAAAAAAAGGAATGAGCTAAATTATCCATATTCAGAAAAGCACTTGAGCAAATTCTTAACTTTAAGCACATGCTCAAATCTCATTTATTGTAAGGGGACTTCAGTCTGTGCTTAAGGGCATTGCTGAATCAGAACCAAGGTGAGAGATGATCACGTACGAAATAATTAAATAATAAAAGAAAAAAGACTAATTTTAATACGTAAAATTGTAGCAAAATGTAGAGTCACATGATGGTGGGAATGTTGGGCGAAATTGGGGGGGGGAGACCAGAAAGAATAGAATGCCACCAATATTTTGTCATGTCCAACTTTTGGATATAACCGATGAATGGCAGTTCAAATGACCTTTGTTTGATCAACTGTACTCAGTATGTCTAATGTTTTATGCCATTGTCATTGAATTAGATTACCAGAAAAAATATAGAGATCATATACAAGAAGAATACCAAGTAATAGAAGACAGGAATGCTCGCCTGGGTGAACATGTGAGTCTAGACAAAAGATACACAGAACTGCTTATTGTAAAAGAACATCGGCAGCGGGAGGAGAGAGAACATGAAATAATCACCAGAGGAAGGAGACACGCAGAGTTGATGGCTCAGCGAACCAGTCACACTAAGATTAGTGTTTTATTTGATCCCGATAGAAGTCGACAAAGCCCAAGAACTGTTGTGTTGCAGGGAGCTGCTGGAATTGGGAAAACAATGACAGCAAGAAAGATCATGTTGGACTGGGCAGCTGGAAAACTCTATCAGAAAAAGTTTGATTACGTTTTCTATATAAATTGCAGAAAAATAAATCTTTTTACTGAACAGAAAAGTGTTGCTGATTTGCTTTTAGACAATTGTCCTAACAGAAAAGGACCAATTAAAGAAATGTTTGAGAAGCCAGAAAAACTCCTGTTCATAATAGATGGTTTTGATGAGTTGAGTTCCTTGCTAGATATTGATGAAGTCGGTCTGTGCACTGACCCATTTGAGAATAAGCCAGTGAAAACCGTACTGTGCAGTTTACTGAGAAAGAAAGTTCTTCAAAAATCCTTCTTACTGATCACTACAAGACCAACTGCTCTGGAGAAACTACAGCAGAATTTGAAATTTCCATGTTATGCAGAGATAATGGGATTTTCTGGAGAAGAGAGGAAAGAATATTTTCATAAATTCTTTTGTGATGAAAAGAAAGCAACACAAGCCTTTAATTTTGTCAAAGAAAATGAAATGCTCTTCACCATGTGCTTTGTCCCCATTGTGTGTTGGATCATCTGCACGGTTATGAAGCAACAGATGGAAAAAGGGGAAGATCTTTCACAAACTTCAAAAACAACCACATCGGTATATTTGCTCTTTCTGTCCACTCTGCTAACTGATCATTTTGCTAACTCAATGCAACAGTCTAAAACTACCCTGTGGAATCTTTGCTCATTGGCTGCAGATGGAATTTTAGAACAGAAAATACTGTTTGAAGAAGGTGACCTGAAGAAACACAATTTATCCTTGTGTAAGATTCAGTCTCTCTTTCTGAATAAAAATATTTTTCAAAAAGATACAGAATGTGAAAGTGTCTACAGCTTCATTCACTTGAGTTTCCAAGAGTTTTTTGCAGCTCTGTTTTATATGCTGGAGGAAAATGAAGAGAAAATGAAAAAATCTTTCTCTTCTAAGAAAGATGTGAACAACTTGCTAAAAATTTATGGACCATCTAAAAATAATTATTTGATGGTAACAGTACGTTTCTTGTTTGGTCTCTTAAATAAAGAGAGACTAAATGACATGGAGAAAAAATTACATTGTAAAACATCATCTGAAATAAAGCTGGATTTATTGAAGTGGTTTGAAGTAGAAGCTAAAAAAATCTCCTCTCTACCCTATAAGACCTATGAGGAACTGCGTGACCAGCTTGAGTTGTTTCACTGTTTGTATGAAAGTCAGGAAGAAGAGTTTGTGAAAAGTGCAATGGATAATTTCCAAGAAATTAGATTGGAACACATCAGGCTTACAACAATGGATGAAATTGCTCTTTCATTCTGTGTAAAGAACTGTTGTAGTAAGCAGTCACTTTACCTATGTAATTGTACTCTTGGGATTGGAGAACGAGAAGAAGGATGGATAACAAAGCTACGGAAATGGTTATTTCCTCTGTAAGTATCACAGTTTATTTAATATTAATCAGTAAATCCTTAGAGTGACATCTCATCATATCACCATTATAATGCCCCTTTTTTCCAGCGGATTATAAGATATTTGCAGATTTGTCTTGGTCTTTCCCTGTAAAATGAGGTTACACTGTCCCTCTGGGTCTGGTTGGGTCGAGGTAGCTGGGTCAGAAAACCTTATGGTTGCAGGATAGGCAGGAATAAGGAAGTGAGGGTTAAGCAGAAGGACCTGGAAACAGCTGGGACCAGTTAGCTTTTTGGGAAACTAGATTGGATCAGATAGAAGGAGAGGAAGTTAAGATACTATGGGCCTGAGTGGTTAGCTAGGTACCTGTCTGCATTGAAAAAGCTGGATACCAGAACTGGAGTAAACATTTTAGCTTTGCCAGTTTCACCAGTGCTGTATAGAGGAGAAACGTAACCTCCTTGTTCCTACTATATATATACTCCTGTTTATACATCCAACGATCCCATTAGCCCTTTCAGCCACAGCATTGCACTGGGAGATCATGGTTGATTGGTTCTCCATCATAACTCCAAGTCCTTTTCAGAGTCACTGCTTTCCAAACTACCGTTCCATATTATAAGCATGCCCATATTCATTGCTCCTTCCGTCTGACCTGTCGAAAGGCATGTTGTTTGTGTGGATCAGTTTACCTAGAGATCCAGCAAGCTCTGTATAAGTGACCTGCCCTGTCCTACAGCCTAGTCACGATAGCAAATGAGTTAGACCTGTCCAGGTCCTTGAGCACCTGAATAGCAAAAGGAAAAGGTATAAGGACTAGAAGCTGGGTCTGCAGAGCCTGGGACAGCTGATATTCCCAAAGTGCCATCAGGCAGCCCTGTAGTAGTTAAGCCAGGGAGCTCTATGGAGAATAGGTGCTGCAGGATGTACTTACTGCCCAAGAGATCCAGAGTGAGGTACCCTGTGGCCCTCTGATTGTCCAAGTGCCCTATTTAACCCCAGGGGTTGCCCCAGGAAGTTGTCTGGGCTGCCATACAGACTTTGGCCTGCTGCAGTGCCAGACTTTGCTTGGCCTCCTGATCTCCAGCCTCTGACTCTAGCCTGATTCTGACCCTGACCCTTGCCTACAGAACCTGGCTCTTGTGATTCCTCCAACTCCAGCCTAGCAACTACTGTCCCTAGAGAGCAGAGCTCAGCCCACCTATGACCGCTAGGCCAGACCACCTGCGCCCCAGTCCTTCACAGCAGGATTAGCCACAAACAATTCAGAAGACTCTCAAATGGCAGCTGATTGTAGCTCAGCTCCTGCTGCTCCTGGACTCTGTGTTGGCACCCAGCCAGCTGCCTGAAGCCGTCAAGCAATCACCTCTTGTTCCCTCTCCACTAGGCTTAGCATCTTCCCGAAGGCTACAATCCAAGCCTTGCTGTTTCCTGCACTACCCAGTCCCTAGCCATGTCACAGGTGATCCCCAGCCATTAGTCAACATCTTACACGACAGCTCCACCTGGCTGCTGATGGCAGTCGTGCTACTGCATTCTCTCACCCGGTGAGAGGTTGATCTGTTTTGGTTCTGCTGGGCAGTATCCTTAATTCCTTCTTTGTAATGTGTGCAGCACCCAACTGCGAGGTGTCTCCTGCCCACCCCCTTCCCTCAGCTCAGTTATGGGACAATGTGAAAGGGGCAGTATTTGGGATAGTCTCCTCCTGCATAGATCCTGCTCCTGAGTCAGGGGCAGGTGCTGGCAGCAATGAGCAATTCACAGGCTGCTGTCACTACTGCAAAGCTTTAGGGTCCAGTGAGATCTGAGGATCCAAAGATCCACCATGTAGTGCACTAACTTACTCCAGCTGCTAATGGACCCAAGAGGCCAAACCTGCAGACAGGGATCAGTGTAGCATATGGGAATCTGTGTCCCACAGATTTGTCGTTTTGCCAAAAAAATGAGTTTTATTATGAGGAAATAGAATGTAGCTGCCTGCCTGAAAGGCTCTTGTGAGTTTCATTTTCTGTTAGTGAAATTGACAAAAGCTTTCCCAGAGGGCCGCCTTGGAAGCATGCAAGGTTGTTCTGCCATCCCCTAGCTCTGGGGCAGAGAAAGGCGGAGAACCCGCAATGCATCCTCACCTCTTACCTAGCTCTAGGGGATGGACAGGCGCAGTGTCTGTTGTTTTTTGATGTTTTAATCCTGATCTGGGGCAAAACATCATCTGAAAAAGTGAAATTTTTCATGGAAAGGTCTACCCTTTTTTCATCCCGTGCTACTGGTAACAGCTGTGTGTGTGGAAGGGGATTGTAAAATCTTTGTGCCACTAGAGATCAGTCCGCTTGACTCCAAATAAAGGATCAGGTCCATTAGCCTGAAAGCATCAGTATCATCTTCATGATTCTTCCCACGCCGTCAGGGCAGAAGGCAGATATTGAACAATGCCAATCCTCCCGGTGCTGGGCTTGTTTTCCATGTCTTTTATATTCAGCTGTAATAATTCCACTTCAGCCTTTATTGAGCTACAGAATGTGCCTCTAGGTCAGTCTCTGTCACTTGCCCTGGAGTCAACAAAGAGAGGCTTGTTTGGGAAGCCTCTTATGAACATTCTTAAAAGATGCCCCAAGTCTGACCACCTCCTCTTCCATAGTACTTGTATTGTTGTACAGGAGGTAGCTGTGCCATTGTGAGGACCTGTTCACGGCTTATTCTGTCCATCCCTTTTACGTTGAATAGTCTGTGCAGCCACCAGCAATGAACTCTGTTTAATTTGCATTGAATGGACTTCCATATTGATGGATTCCAGTTTTGATAATTTTGTTAATCATGTTGGACTTCCATGTTGGTAGTGATGGAAATACAGCACTCATTTTACCTATTCATAGAATCTCAGGGTTGGAAGGGACCTCAGGAGGTCATCTAGTCCAACCCCCTGCTCAAATTAGACCAATCCCCAACTAAATCATCCCAGCCAGGGCTTTGTCAAGCCTGACCTTAAAAATTTCTAAGGAAGGAGATTCTGGGCTTTACACGAAACACAGTCACCACTATCATGAATGAGGCTGCCAAGATAAGTTAATTTATTCAGTTTTTCAAGGCTTCATCTCTCAAATAGATAAAATTATTGATCCATAAATTTATTTTGTTAACTTCTGTTTTTAATTGATTAATAATACTTGCTTGGCAGAATTTGCAAGACCACCTGTCTTTCACTGCGTACCTTCAACTCATTTATTTGTAAGAAAAATGTCACCTGCAAAGTCTAGGTCTCCAGGCTCCCCATGTCTCCCCACAATGCCCATCTCCATACTGACAGGCAGTCAAAATCAATAGCAACTCCCAAAAAAAGAGGCACAACACACAACCTTGTGTGACCCCAACATTAGCATTAAACCAGTCTGCTAACTCTTGGTTTGCCTTTATTGTGCACAGAGCATTCTGACACAAAGTCATAATAATCTGAATGATTTTCTCTGCCACCAGGATTCCCTATTTACACTATCAAATGCCTTTTGGAAACTCGCAATATTCAAGACTACTGGCAACTGCCATTTATTACTTGGTTCTACAGCAGGGGTGGCCAACCTGAGCCTGAGAAGGAGCCAGAATTTACCAATGTACATTGCCAAAGAGCCACAGTAATACGTCAGCAGCCCCCCATCAGCTCCTCCTCCCCCACTCCCAGCGCCTCCCACCCACCGGCAGCCCCGCCGATCAGCGCCTCTCCCTCCCTCCCTCCCCCCCACTCCCAATCAGCTGTTTCATGGCATGCAGGCGGCTCAGAGGGGGAGGAGCGAGGGCAAGGCAGGCTCAGGGGCGGGGGCAGAAAGGGGTGGAGTGGGGGCAGGGCCTGTGGCAGAGCCAGGGGTTGAGCAGTGAGCACCCCCGGCACACTGGAAAGTTGGTGCCTGTAGCTGCAGCCCCGGAATCGGTGCCTAGACAAGGAGCCGCATATTAACTTCTGAAGAGCCGCATGTAGCTCTGGAGCCACAGGTTGGCCACCCCTGTTTTACGGTCTACACAATTTCTACCTGGCCAAAAAACAGCTTACCATTCTCTAAATCTGCTATCTATGGCTTTTAAAGGCTTGTCTACATGAAGACATCCAGGAAAGTTAATTTGAATGAACTAAAATCGTACATTTGAAGTGGATTAATTAAACTATGTTAAATCCCTGCGTGGATGCTGTTTTACAGAATTAAAGTGGCCTTAATTAGGTTTAGTTTAATTCACTTCCAAAGGCCATTTAAATTCTGAATAACAGTGTCCACACAGGGATTTAATGTGGTTTAACTTAGCCGCTTCAAATTCACACTTTTAGGGCATGGCTGCACATGCAGTTGTAGAGCGCTGTGAGTTAAACCAGCCCTCGGAGAGCGCCGTAGGGAAAGCGCTGCAGTCTGTCCACACTGACAGCTGCAAGTGCACTGGCTTGGCCATGTTTGCGGCTCTTGCAGCGGCATTGGGAGCGGTGCATTATGGGCAGCTATCCCACAGAGCACCTCTTCCCATTCTGGCGCTGTGGCTTGTGGGAAGGAGCGGGGGGTGCGGGGCATTCTGGGTCCTGTCCCAATGCCCCGTGATGCATCGCTTCGCATCCCAGCAATCCCTGTGCTTCCGTCCGCATTTGGCGCCATCTTTCAACGTTTTTTGTACTGCGCACTCTGTCTTCCCTTTCAGTCTGCGGGAGTGGATCCCGAAGTGCTGAGGAATATGCTGATGGGTCTCGCCAGCACGTCACGTTTGGCAGTTGAGTTATTCCTTAAGCTACAAAGTGACAGTGAGGAGTCTGACGATATCGACTCTCGTAACACATATGACACGAGATTGCTTGTGGCATTCACGGACATGCTCACCACCATGGAACGCCGCTTTTGGGCTCGGGAAACAAGCCCTGAGTGGTGGGATCACATCGTCATGCAAGTCTGGGATGACGAGCAGTGGCTGCAGAACTTTCGGATGAGAAAAGCCACTTTCATGGGATTGTCTGCTGAGCTCGCCCCCAACCTGGGGAGCAAGGAGACGAGATTGAGAGCTGCCCTGATGGTGGAGAAGCAGGTGGCTATTGCAATCTGGAAGCTGGCAACTCCAGACAGCTACCGATCAGTCGCTAACCAGTTTGGAGTGGGAAAGTCAACCGTTGGAATCGTGTTCATGCAAGTTTGCAGGGCCACTAATCGCATCCTGCTCAGAAGAACCATGACTCTGGGTAACGTGCATGACATTGTGGCCGGCTTTGCACAAATGGGTTTCCCTAACTGCGGAGGGGCAAGAGATGGGACTCATATTCCAACTCTGGCACAAGCCCACCTAGCCTCCGAGTACGTTAATCAGAAGGGTTATTTCTCTGTGGTTCTCCAGGTGCTTGTGGATCACCGTGGGTGTTTCATTGACATTAACACAGGCTGGTCTGGAAAGGTGCATGAAGCACGCATCGTTCAGAACACTGGCCTGTTCAGGAAGCTGCAAGCTGGGACTTTTTTCCCAGACCAGAAGATCACCATAGGGAAAGTCGAAATGCCCATTGTGATCCTTGGAGACCCTGCTTACCCTTTAATGCTGTGGCTCATGAAACCCTACACAGGGAGCCTTGACAGCAGCAAGGAGCGGTTCAACAGCAGGCTGAGTCAGTGCAGAATGACTGTGGAGTGTGCTTTTGGCCGTTTAAAGAGCCGCTGGTGCTCTCTGTATGGGAAGCTGGACCTGGCCAATGACAACATTCCCGCGGTTATATCCGCATGCTGTACCCTCCATAACGCGGAGGTTCAACACCTGGAGGCTGAATTTGAACAGCCAGAGAGCAGGGCTATTAGAGGGGCCCAGCATGGGGCTGCAAGGATTAAGGATGCCTTGAGGGAGCAATTTGAGGCTGAAAGCCACCAGTAATGTTTGGTGCCCTGCACGGGAGTGAAATTCAGTGATTCCAATATTAGTAGGAAACTGTGCTTGCTACACTGACTTGCAGTGCCTGTTGCTTTCCTGCGCTAAGGTATCTTTTACTTAATGCAATAATAAAGAATGTTTTCAAAGCCAAAAAAGCCATTTATTTAAAATAAAATTCATTTATTGAAAAGAAACACAACTGCTTGGGAAACTGCTTGGGGTAGGGTGGGGAATGGTTCAATCACAGATTTGCGTATGTCCTGTTCTCATACTCAGCCTTCCTGTCTGGGGTGCTGTGCAATGAGTGCTGCACTTCTGGTGGGCTAAAACACATGGTGATGGGGGTTGAGTGCAGTGGGTAAGGGTTGTAGTTTGCAGGGCTGGGTGGTGAAGCTACAGGTGTTGGAGGCAGCTGGTGGTGATAAGAACCCGGATGTTGGGGAAAGTGGGTTGGAGGTGACATGGGGGCACAAGGGAAAGTTTTGGGACAAGGGCTGCAGGGTGGGGGGCAGGAGCGGTAGTGCTCTGCCTGCATGGCTACAAGCGCCTGGATCGAGACCGCTTGGCGCTCCATAATGCTTATCAGCCAATTCGTGCTTTGCTGCCGGCGCGCCGTGCTTTGGGTCCAGTGCTCCGCATTCTGCTGGCGGATCCGCCTTTCACTCTCCCTCTACTCCTGCGCTTTTTGATTTGCATTAAGGGACTGCTGTATGACTTCATGCAGCATGTCTTCTTTGCTTTTACGTGGCCTCTTCCTAATTCTTTGGAGTCTTTCAGCCTGTGATAACACGGACGGCTGAGATCTCAAGGTTGCATCTGTAAAGGCAAAATGCAACATTTAACAGAGGCAGTATAGCGCACACCAGACAGAGCAATGATTCACCCGTATTTAAAGACAAGCACAGTGTAACGATAGCAGAATTTGCCCTTCCCAAAGCGAGGGCACATAACCCAAAGGAGCCTCAAAATGGTGAGTAAGCACAGGGTCAAGGGGGAATGATTGTTTCACAGCCGAACTCTGTGGTTCTCTGTGCCTTGGGGAGAGCCAACAGTTGCAGGGGGCCCCTGTACTAAACACTGTCCCCACATTTTCCACAGGAGCTCATCCTGGAAGATATCTCACTGCTGAGGGTGACCTGGGAAGCAAGGGAGGGTCTTCTACTACAATGCGGCTTCTGCCCTGGCCCATATGCAGCTTGCCTGTGTGCAGCAATGGTCCCCCTGCCCATCACAGCACAGTGCTGTGGACATGTTAGCCTGACTGGGACAAGGAGCACAGTAGCTCTCCTAAGGAACCTGTGCAAGCACATTGCCCATCTTCTGCATGAGACCTTTGAAGAGATCACTGAAGCCGATTACCGCAATGTGAGAGAGCACATCAACGCCCTATTCCGCATCTAGGCATGCATGCAGCCCTAACCCTCCTCTCCCCAAGAGCCCACACTGAATAATTTCCTTCCCAAAATAAAAGCCGCTTACTGGGAACCTCCTCTGGTGTTTGTCCTTCCCCAAGCACCGGCCGCTTCAACTGGCTACCTTCCTCCTGGCTTGAAAACAGTTCCTGGCTGCATGCATCTAGGGATGCCGGGGCATCTTCCCTCGCCTCAGCACCTTTGCTCCCGCTTTTCTCCTCCTCCTCCTGCCTTGTTGAACTGGGCTCTGAAGTGTCCATGGTGGTACTCAGAGTGGAGGTGGGTTGCGTCCAGCTCTTTGTAGAAACTGCAGGTCGCGGGGGCAGCACCGGAGCGGCGGTTTGCCTCGCGGGCTTTGCGATAGGCATTCCACAGCTCCTTCACTTTAACCCTGCACTGCAGTGTGTCCCGGTCATGGCCCCTTTCCATCATGTCCCTTGATATCTGCCCAAAGGTATCGTAATTCCTCCGGCTGGAGCGCAGCTGGGACTGGACAGCTTCCTCCCCACAAACACTGATGAGGTCCAGCACCTCATCATTGCTCCATTCTGGGGATCGCCTGGCGCGTGGAGGCATGGACACCTGGAAAGATTCGCTGAGAGCACTCCATGCCTGGCTGAGCAAACAGGAAGGGGATTTTCAAAATTCCCAGAGAATTTAAAGGGCGGGTCTGACGGTTGGTCACCTGAGGGCAGGGCAGTAGAGTTCAAAGTGATGAGCAGAGTGGCTAGAACAGGCATCGTGGGACACTTCTGGAGGCCGATCAGAGCGCACTGATAGACCAGGGCGTCCATACTGGCGCCACGGTGCTCCAGCCAGGGTGCACCAAGCGTTATGCCTCTCGCGGAGGTCGATTACCAGGAGCGCTCCAGTCGCGGAGTCCGGGCGCTCTACGTGCCTTGCCAGTGTGGCTGCGTCATGAGTTAGAGCGCACGGGGCTGCTTTAATGCGCTCTAATTCGCAAGTGTAGCCATGCCCTAAGTTAATTCTGATTTAGGGTGATTGCACAGAAAACTTTCCCTGGGCCTGAAAGCAGTGTATTCTTGTGCCGTTTGTCACAGTCACTCAAATCTTCTTTGTAAGGGAGTTTGATTAAGAACCCTTTTTTCCATTCTTCTGAGATATATTCCTTCTCCCATGCCCAACTGAAAAGGGATAGCAGGATTTTCACTGAAAGAAGCAGCTCACCCATAACCCTGTTTTATATGGCCAAGCTACTAGATGGGGCAGATGCTACACAGGATTAGTGGGGGTTACGCTGCTCTTAGGAATGAATAGCTAACATGATATCAGAACAATGGACTGTGGGGTCTTCATATACTTCTCTTTGTTTTCTTTTTAAAGAGGCTAATAAATGTCTGCTGTGGAATAAAACCTACCCCATCATCTTCAGGAAAAGAGATGGGAAATCTGCCTTTAGGAAATGATATTTAAAACTCGCGTTCTCTCTTCTAGGAACCCACTGATGAAGGATCCGAGAACTTCAACTGCATACACATTGTTGCAAGGACTCAAGGATCCAAACTGTAAACTGAAGACAATATCGTAAGCAAACTCCTCTCTTACAGCCTTTTTGTGACTGCTGCTATGCCAGGAGTTGGGTAGCAATGCATTTCTGCCCAGTGTCTGGTATTACTCTGTATTCCATTTGAAATGTAACTCTGAGCTGCAAATCACAGTAAACATCTAAAGAATCAAACTCCATGAAACCACTAAATTAACTGTGTGGCAAACCCTTGTCTCTGCCCCCGCCCAGTAAGTAGGCCAGCTGCTGGGCTGATGCACAAGGTGGAGGAATCCTCCTCACCCAGGGCACAGAGCGGCTGTGGAGTTTCTTCACAGAAACTAATCCAGCCTAATGCTAATGGTGAGATAGAGACCCACCCTCTGCACTGCATCTCACACACCCAGTGTACCCCTGCACAGAGGAATACAGGGTTGCTCTGTGGCCACTGGGAAAGGTACTGGATTGGGCACTGGGAAAGGTACTGGATTTGCCCCTAAGAGAACAAATGTCCTCTGTTCTCTTCCTTAAATTGTCTCCTGGGGACAGTGAGGTGATTGTTGAATGCACAGAGACTTGAAACACTAGGGTAAGTGACCAAGTGACCTTCATTTCCTGCTAGCTGAGAACTTGTACGCTTCTCACATATGGCCCCCTAGTGGCCTGGCTAAACTATGGCTCTGTGCAGGTACTACAAATGCTACGGTTCTTACTTAGGGCTTAATGTGCAGCAAGCGGGGGAGCCGTGCACCAACTGGCTATGTGGGGCCTGCTGCCGCACACTAAAGTTCCTTAGTGCACTTTGACCCCCCCGCACTCGAGATCGTCATATTATTTATTTTAATCCGTCTTTCTAATGTGATACGTGTTTTGCCCTTTACTGACCAAAAGTTAATCACACTTGCTCTGTTTTTGCTTTTCATTTCATCCCCACCTCTGTCTGTTCTGTCCCACTCTCAGCACCTGCCCACTTGTGCGTACTTCTCAGCCATCTGACCCCCACCCACCCCACTCCCCTGAACATGCTACCATGGTTCAAGGAAACAGCGACCTAGGTGAAGACCAGGCATTACAAGTGGGCATAACAAACAGATTGTGGGTAGGGGAGCAGAAAGGGGAGGGGACGGGAGAGAGAGGACAAGGATAAATTATTAATCAATCATGTCCATGTTTTTCATGTTTCTGAAGGTAAGGTAGACGAGTATTTTGTCAGAAGGGTGTATTGTTTTTTGCCTAGAAAACTGTAAATCATCAAGATTATTCATTTATGTATTCTGGTGTGAGAATGCTGCTAGAATCGTATCCTGTAATACCGTCTCCATGTGATTAGTCTTCGGGAAGTCCAGGGGACACTGCTTCACTTAGTAATTAATTATTTAGTAGTAAGCACTGTTTGTGTGAGGCAGGATTGCAGGATCAGGCCCCTGGTTATCGGGCCCATGTTTCCTGAAGTGTCATTAAGCTGTCCTGTCTCCCTAGTGTAACTGTACTGGGAAGTTTTATCCATAGTTTTCAGTTCCCCCAGAATTAAATTTTAGGCTCCCTAGAGATGGAAGCAGGCTCCTGGTCCCTGATAGGCTTGGGTGGGTGCATTGAAAAAAATCTCTGGGGGTCAGGCTGCCCCAGCTGTAAACCTCTGGATTGACCTCCTCCAGACCAGACCACATGCCTCACTCATACTGTGCCTGCATTGCCTCGACATGCTCATGAAGCTGCTTGCAGCTCTGCATTCAGGTAATGACAAAAATCAAATCTCATGCTGCAGAGGTCAGGGAGGAATTTTTTTTTCAATGTACGATTGGCTTGGTGTAGTCTGGGTTTTTTCTGCCTTCTTCTGTAGCATCAGAAATTAGGCACAGCTGGAGATGGGACACTGGATAGAGTGGACCAGTGCTCTGAGATGGTACAGATAACCCATCTGTCTAAGATGCCTGGCTGGGGTGTCTTGCTCACATGCTCAGTCATATACTGATCTCCAGACTTGGGGTCAGGAAGGAATTTCCCCCAGGTCAGATTGGCAGGGACTTTGGCAGGGGTGGGGGGAAAGGGGTTGTCATCGCCTGCAGTGTGGGGCGTGAATCACCTGCTGATAGCGTCTGGGTATATCTCGCGAAATCACATCCCTGCCTTTGCAAGGGCCTCAGTCTCTCTTGTTCGCTGCCACTGATGCACAACAGTTTAGTTTCCCGAGGACTGAAATGTTTTGGTTAACTAAAGTCTTTGGGATTAATATAGGGGTGACCTGGTGCTGTGTCGTGGCCTGTGATCTACAGGAGGTCAGACTAGATGATCTGGTGGTCCCCTCTGGCCTTAAACTCTATGAAACTGTGGAAGTCCCCAGATGGAATCTATCACTAAGCGGTGGTTCTTTGAGTGACAGCACATGTGTGTTCCACTTTAGGTTTCCACTTTGTTTCGAAGAAGAAGAAGAAACAATTACTAACCTGTTCCGTAACTGTTGTCCTGCAAGATGTGTTACATGTGTCCATTGCACATCCCACCCTCCTATCCCTCTATAGCTAGTCTTTTTGGTTAGAAGGAACTGAGGAGGGTCAGGGGCAGCTCCAGCCTTTATACCATCACATGGCAGCGCGTGCCAGCGGAGGACCCATACGCCGCCCCTGCTGATGGAAAAATCTCTGACAACAGTGCACTGGACCTGCAGATGTTTCTAAAGTGGAAAGGACGTGTGCAATACATCTCGAAGAACAACAGTTACAGAACTGTTAGTAACATGGACCACAGATATAATAGACCAGGGGAGGTTAAGCCTCCCCAAACCCAGGCCATGGCCCCACCCACACTGTGCACTGAGGCCCCGCCCTCGCTCCGCCTCTCCCCTGAAGCTGGTGTGGGCTTGGCTTGGGCCAGTGGCTTGGAACCCGGGCAGGCGGGGCTCAGGCTGCAATGTGGGATTTGGGGGGGTTCAAGCCACAGTGGAGGGCTTGGGGCTGCTCTGGCTCTGGCGGGGTGGGGTAGCGGCCGGCCTCATGTGGGGCAGGGGGCTAGCCTCTCCGAATGGAGAGTTCACCCACCACACATGGTTAGTAACTGTTTCATACAGTGCAGAGGTAACTTTGATCTGTTCATTTCTTCCCTTCAGCTTGTCCAGCTGCAAACTCTCATCTGCTTTCCCTGAGGACCTCTCTCGTAAGACCCTCTTTACAAACTGGTCCCTGGAAAAGCTGGATCTGAGTGCCAATACACTGGGAGACTTAGGACTGAAACATCTGTGTGAGGGACTGAAACATCCACTCTGTAAACTGCAGATACTGCTGTAAGTAACCCACTGCTATATTTTGTTAGTACGTGACTTTTTCACTCATCTCTGTGTTGTTTCACCCACCTGCTTTGTCCTAGCTTTTAGCCTAATAGCTGTTTGAGGCAGAGATTGTCATATTTTTGTACAGCACCTGGGACACTGCTGCCTAGACCTGGTTGAAGCCTCTACATGTTACTGCAATGCGAATATTTATTAATCAGTAATAAATGTGTTTAGGCACCCAGTCTTGCAAACTCAGCAGGAGAAGGATGTGTCAACACATGTAGGACAGGAAGTGGTGTTGATGGATCCTTCACTGAGCATCAGTGGTGGGAGTCCAACCACTGTGGTGACTTCCTTCAGTTCTGCCACCATCTTAGCCGTGCAGCTCGACGTCTCCATTCTTACTGAATTCCATAACCACAAACTCAGGCGCCTTGTAACCCTTCCTTAAAATCCAGTGTGACCTGCCTCCTCCCTCTCCCTGCTAGTCCCCAGCTCACTCTCCACTTTACCAAGACTGATACATCCTGCAAGGGTAGACGCAGTCATACAGGTGTAAATGTGCTTGATACTAGGGCTGTCGATTAATCACAGTTAACTCACATGATTAACTCAAAAAAATTAATCATGCTTAAAAAAATTAATCGCCGTTTTAATCAAACAGTTAAACAATAGAATACCAATTGACATTTATTAAATATTTTGGATGCTTTCCTACATTTTCAAGTATGTTGATTTCAATTACAATACAGAATACAAAGTGTACAGTACTCATTTTATATTATTACTATTACAAATATTTGCACTGTAAAAATGATAAACCAAAAAATATTAGTTTTCAGTTCACCTCGTACAAGTACCATAGTGCAATCTCTTTATTGTGAAAGCGCAACTTACAAATGTAGATGGTAACAATGTAAAACTTTAGAGCCTACAGGTCTCCTCAGTCCTACTTCTTGTTCAGCCAATCTCTCAGAGAAACAAGTTTGTTTACATTTACAGAAGATAATGCTGCTCACTTTTTATTTACAATGTCACCTGAAAGTGAGAACAGATGTTTGCATGGCATTTTTGTAGCTGGCATTGCAAGGTATTTACATGCCAGATATGCTAAACATTCATATGCGCCTTCATGTTTTGGCCACCATTATAGAGGTCATGCTTCCATGCTGGTGACGCTTGTTAAAAATGTGTTAATTAAATTTGTGACTGAACTCCTTGAGGGAGAATTGTATGTCCCCTGGTCTGTGTTTTACCCACATTCTGCCATATATTTTGTGTTATAGCAATCTCGGATGATGACCCAGACTCTGTCTGGAATATTCTGAAAATCTTCTTGCACTGTGCACAAATAAAATCTGAGTCAGGAATTCGTCATGTAATTAATTTGACTAATTTAAATGCAATGGGTGACATGTATACAGGCTTTATAGACACTGAAACTACCAAGTTACCAGAAAGAAGGAAGAGTCACTGCACTAAGTAAAGCAAATATTGACCCCTTTATGGAAGGAGATGGTTATTTCTATCTCTGTTGCAGGTTGTGGCAGTGCCGTCTCACAGCTGCTTGCTGTGGGGATCTCTCTGAGGCCCTCAGTGCAAACGAGTCCCTTACTGAGCTGGAGCTGAGTGGGAATGAACTGGGAGATTCAGGAATTAAACTTCTGTGTAAAGGACTGAAACATCCCAGCTGTAAACTGCAGAAATTAGTGTAAGTCATTGCTGGGTTCCTTGATACTTTTCTTGTTAGACCAGCCTTTGCAAAAGTCCTGTCTAATTTTGCACTGATAATATTTTGAGGTTCTATTCTCACTTATGAAATCAACCTGCATTTGCAGGAGAAACTGGATATATTTTGTACATTACATCTTATGGTTGTACACAAACGGTCGTAACAGCCACATGAAAATCCATTTTCTACTGGTCCAAGCCTCAGATATTGGGACTGTCCCTATAAAATCAGGAAATCTGGTCACCCTACTGTCTGTTCACTGTGCACATCTCCATCTCTGCAGGGTTTGGGATTGCCATCTGACTGATGCTTGCTGTGGAGATCTCTCCTCTCTGCTCAGCACAAACTGGTCCCTGAGAGAGTTGAACCTGAGCGGCAATAACCTGAGTTATTCAGGACTGAAGCTTCTGTGTGAAGGACTGAAACATCCAAACTGCAAGTTAGAGAAGCTCGAGTAAGTGACTTCAGGTTTCTGTATCAAAAGAATCCATTGCAGTGTGTGCTGGTCTTCCAGTCACCCAGCTGTGTATCGACTACATGGACCAATCAGGTGAATTGGGATGATCTGTACGGGCCGAGGACGGGAGTATGTTCTGTGCCTCCAGAAGGCACTGCTCACATAAGTGCAACCTAGGGGAGGCGGCCAAAGTGGCTTTAAGCCTCCTTTATGCCACTCTGACTCCAGGCTGGTCAGGGCTTGAAACAGCCGACAGTGTAACTTAGGTAACCTGCCTCCTCCAGCCTCCAACACCGGGGCTTGCACGAAGCAGCCTGTGACTGTCGGGCACAATGCTAGCAGTGGGGGAATTTCCCCCCCCCACCTGCTAAGGGGCAGTTGCTGCCCTGTATGCTGCTGCAGCAGTGTGCAGGGGCTGTAGAAGGGGGGAGAATTCTCCCCCATGTGTGTGTGATTTTCAGGGCAGGGACAGTGTCTCCCCAACTGTTTGTACAGCAGTTAGTAGAGCTGGTCTGGAAGTTCCCACTGATACATTTTTTAGATAGAAAATGTTGGTTTCTTCAGAATTGAAATTTTCCATGGGAAAACTTTTTGTGTGTGTGTGTTAGGAAAATCAAATGAAAACATTTCATTTTAGGTCAGGTCGACGTTAATCATTGTGTCTGCCTGAACTGCTGCAGTGTGCCATGGGAATTGTAGTTTGGGTCTCTCATCCCCCTCATTCTCACTTATTGGCTGTGTCATAAACATACAGCTAAGAGTAGCCTAGAATTCCTCCTTACCTGTAAGGGGTTAAGAAGCTCAAATAACCTGGTTGGCACCTGACCAAAAGGACCAATGGGGAAAGAAGATACTTTCAAATCTGGGGTGGGGGAAGGCTTTGTGTGTGCTCTTTGGTGTGTGTTCTCTGGGGAAGCAGAGAAGCATCAGGTCAGAAAACTCCTTCTCCTAAAATGAATCACAATATTGCAAAAAGAGTAAGTAAATAAGGCAAGCTGCATTAGATTATCTTTTGTTTTAGCTTATGAATTTTCCCTATGCTTAGAGGGAGGTTTATCCCTGTTTTTTGTAGCTTTAAAGTTTTGCCTAGAGGGGAATCCTCTGTGTTTTGAATCTGATTACCCTGTAAAGTTACCTTCCATCCTGATTTTACAGAGGTGCTTCTTTTACTTTTTTTTCCTTTATAATAAAGTTCTGTTTCTTAAGAATCTGATTTACCTGTTTGGTTGGTAGATTATTCTCAAGCCTCCCCAGGAAAGGGGGTGAAGGTTCTTGTGGGGATATTTTAGGGAACAGGAACTCCAAGTGGTCCTTTTCCTGAATCTTTGTCTAACTCACTTGGTGGTGGCAGCAGTACCCATCCAAGGACAAGGAAGGATTTGTGCCTTGGGGAAGTTTTTAACCTAAGCTGGTAGAAATAAGCGTAGGGGGTCTTTCATGCGGGTCCCCACATCTGTACCCTAGAGTTCAGAGTGGGGAGGGAACCTTGAGAGGCTGCATTCCCCTTCCAGCATATGTCCCGCATGATGGGCCTGCACTGCAGAGCTCAGTCACAGGAAGAGACTGTGACTCATGGGAGACAGTCAGGGCATGGTGCTCACGCCAGTGGGGCGAAGGGAGGCAGGAGGTATTCCAAGAGACACAGCAGCAGCTCCAGTGGGCAAGTTCCCTGCTTAACAAGTAGAAGTCAGCAGCAGAACTGGTTGAAATTAGGGCTTGTGATACAGCATGGCCAGAGGGCAGCAGGAGAGTGTTGTTTTTTTTTTTTAGCAGGAGAGTGCCTTTTTTTATTTATGTAACACTTACAAGAATCACCAAAAAAAATAAAGCAAAACTATGCAACAAAACAAAAGCAAACACAAGGTATAACACAGCAGCCTTAAGGAGGGAGAAGTGTTCAGGCTAGCCTGGGCCCAGAGCCGGGGGGCTTCCTCGACACTCATGGTCTTCCACCCCCTCGTTACCTAGTGCCACGCCCAGTGTCACCGATTATTCCTCTCCTGAGAGTGCCCGACAAGATGGGCACAGCTGCGGGGTGGGCAGTTTGGGGGGGGGGGGGACGTACACCACGTGTGATAGGACCCCTCCTAGGTGACAGTAATGATGGTATCCACAGCGGCAACGGCTGGGGCTGGGGTCTCTCTCTCTTCCCCTCAATCAAAGGGTCAGATGGAGGGAACCAGACGGGGTCACCGAGCAGAAAACCTCGGTCAGCACCCACCGCTCCTCGAAGGTGTCAAGGGAGTCGGTGGACGCCACCCAGAGGAACTCTGCCCGGATACGTGAATGCACTGAGGATCGGAAAACGGCCCTACAATCGCAGGACGCTTCATTAGCCGACCTCCTCTATCTGGTTTTATAAATGGCTGTTTTAGCTAGGGCTAGGAGGAGGTTAACCAGGAGATCTCACGATTTTGTGGGGCCACGGATGGGGAGTGTGTAGATAAAAAGGTGAGGGGAAAAGTGTAGCCAAAAGCATAGTAAAATATTCATGAGGAGCTGGAAAAGGGGCTGCAGCCTGGCACACTCCAAATATATGTGCGCCAGGGTTTCCCTCACATTACAAAAAGGGCAAGTATCCGGGATGGGGGTGAACCGTTTCAAAAACACGCCCGTGCTCGCAGTGAAGGAGCCGCCAACTAATGTCCCTGACGGGCCTTGGGACCAAGGTGGAATACAGGCTGGCCCACCGGGGTTGCTCACCCTCTAAAGGTGGCAGGAGGTCCCGCCACTTTGTATCGGGGCAGGACACCAGGGTGTGGGCGTGAAGGGTGTGAAGCATGAGTGTGTATAGATATTTCCGTGGCGTGATTTGGAAGCTGACTGGCTGCAGTTCATACAGCCGGCTTGCAGTGAAAGGGTGAGGGGTTTGATGGGATCTACGGGGTAGGGGCCCAATTGAAAGGTCCGGCGGGCCTTGGGTAGAGGGTGGGCGGGGTGCGCCCTCGCGCAGGGCTCGGTTGAGATAAGCCCGAGCAGCGGGCATCAAGGCGGCCTTCACCTCCTGAAGTACGTGCCGGGGGGTACGAGGTCTGGAGAGCCCCATGCACTGAGCGAGCGTCAGGGGATCCAGCCAGTCTCCCCGGTCGTAGTCCAGAAGGTCTCCGACTCTCGTGACTTCCGCCAGGACCAAACTCTGGCACACCGAGCGGGACTCCGCCGCCTGCACACGGAGCTGGGGATTATGTAGCAGGGGCTCCGCGAGGAGATCTGCTCCCACGGTGGCCGCCATGGACCTGGCCGTTGAAAACAGTTTCCAGGTCCGGAGGAGGTCCTGGTAGAAGACCGGCAGCCCAGAGAGGTCTCGCGGAAAACCTCTCTGACAAAGATAAAAGAGCTGCCGGTCATATCGGAGCCCTTGGAAGCGGCACAGGAAGGCGTGCGCCAATATGGTCCATGTCGAACTACCTGCACTATAAAGGAGCCTCTGTAGGGCTTGGAGGTGGAAGACACGGACCTGAGTGTGCAGACACTTCGGGCCCTGCCCTTCTTCCTTCAGGAGTAGATGAAGAACCACAACAGGGGCCCAGTGCATTTCTGACCAAAAGAACTCTAGAAGCAATGTCCGAAGGTCGGTCAGGAAATCCGGGGCTGGGACCAGGGTGTTTAGTCCTGTCCACGCTCTGGTACCGGCTCGTTGGTTAAGCACCAGTGCTCTCCCTCGGAGGGAGAGACATTGGAGTAGCCTCGTCCATTTCCGGAGCCACTCTAGCACCCCGCCTTCTAAATTTTGCCAGTTCTCCGGCGGAGAAGGGTGCGTGGCAGAAAGGTAAACGCCTAGGTAGAGCAGTGGACCCGCGCTCCACCAGATGGTCTGAAGCGCGGGTGGGAGGGAGCTCACCTGCCGCCAGTCCCCCACTGCCAAGCCAGAGCTCTTGATCCAGTTGACTCAGGCGGAGGAGGCTGCCGAATAGATGGCCTGGCAAGCCTCCACCCGCGCCAAGTCCCCCGGGTCCTGGACCACGAGGAGCACGTCATCGGCGTACGCCGACAGGACCAGCTGCAGCTCCGGCTCCCACAGCACCAACCCCGTCAACCTCCTGCGGAGGAGACAGAGGAAGGGCTCGATCGCCAGAGCGTACAGCTGGCCCAAGAGGGGGCACCCCTGCCGTACTCCTCGCCCGAAGATGACCGGTTCGGTCAGGGTCCAGTTGAGCCTAACCAGACACTCCGCGGAAGTGTATAGCACCTGGAGAAAACTCACAAACTGAGGTCCGAATCCAAACGCCTGCAGAGTGCCCAGGAGGTACCCATGGTCCACTCTATCAAACGCCTTCTCCTGATCAAGAGACAGGAGGGCGAACGACAGACCGTCTCTACACCCGAGTTCCAAAAGATCTTGGACTAGAAATAGGTTGTCAAAAATGCTGCGACCTGGGACAGTATAGGTCTGGTCTGGGTGGATCACGTCCGCCATCACGGACCCTAGCCGCAGCGAGATTGCTTTTGCTACGATTTTGTAGTCCGTGCTAAGGAGCGAGATGAGACGCCAGTTTCGTAAATCACGGAGGTCCCCCTTCTTCGGTAACAAGGCGAGCACTGCTTGCCTGCATGAAAGGGGGAGGACCCCGCCCTGCAAAGACTCAGCCCAGACAGTGGCTAGGTCTGGGCCAAGGATGTCCCAGAACGCGTGGTAGAACTCCACGGTCAGCCCGTCCATGCCCGGAGATTTATTGGTGGGCATGCGACGGAGGGCTTCCGAGAACTCGGCCAGGGTGAGAGGCAGCTCTAGTCGGTCTTGGTCGCCCATGCTGACCATAGGGAGTTCCTCCCAGAGCACCCTGCAAGCGCCAGGATCAGTCGGATCTGGGGAGAAAAGGCTTGTGTAGAAGTCACGGGCCCTCCCACACATCTCCACCGGATCCGTGAGGGGGGCGCCGTCTTCTGCTAGAAGGCAGGTGACGTGTTTCTTGGCCCCCCTCGTTTTCTCCAGGGCGTACAAGAAATGGGAGCCGCGATCCATCTCCCGAAGGAGGTGGATGCGGGATCGAACAAAG